ATTATACTGTTACTGTAAACAGTATTGTAGTAAAAATAAATACCTACTTACCTATATTTTTTTAAATATCAAACAAGTACAAATATAAAATAATATTCTAAGCTTTTCCTAATCTAACTTGAGGTGTAATAATATGCTACATGAATATATCGTAAGTGGTCAACTTTTATTAGAATACTTTAGAGAAATATTTTTTTACTCTAGCCGACTTTCAATAAAACAAACAAATAAAAATTCTCAAATCGTGAGTCTGCAACTGAATGATTAGTAATGATGATATTACACGAATAAATAACGTCTGTGCCTAGGTACGTGTTTGAAATCGTTTACATCTTACGTGGTTGGTGAATAATTGTAATGCACGCCATTTATATATAATATATTTAAGTTATTAATTGTTGTATGTTGTCGTTATAAATGATATACACTATAACTTAAAATATATTAGGCATTTGGGTTTTGAACGTTCTACTACGTAAAATATAGTTAGGTACAAGTGGTACAACGTTAGGTTAAGCCAATGATAAGTATTAAYGTTAACTAAAAATCTGCTGAACGAAATTAGCTTCATTGATTTTGTACAAAAAATTAATGCAAAAAACAGGCGATTTCGGGCAATAAAGAATACTTACGGTCAAAAGTAATAATCTTTTATAATAGTTATTATTATTATTAATAACGACATATTATTATTCGCATGATCGTAGTCTTCAAATTGATTGACCTAATAACCACTGAGCCACGTTTTAGACTAATGACTTTTGGGAAATACACACATGACACAGTCCTAAGTTTAGTTGTTAGCCTTATATGTACATACTTGATTATACATTATAATACTACACTGTATATGATATAATATGTACACTCTTGTCCCAATATCATATAAAACGCATGATTTATATAACAATACCTATATGAACCATTTATTTCAGATAATGTGRCAGACCATAATCTTGGTTTATTATATTTGTATATTATCTACCTGTATGAAAATTGTTTGACCTTGAACTGTAATATTATTTCTGAAGTTGAGGAAATTGTAAATACTTAATACACATGTCATACAACTATCGAACTAAATTTTTATTTTTGAAATATAACTAGATATCTATGTATAATATTACCGCAGGTAATAATATCAGGTATGTTATACAGAGTGTCTCACGAGGATTTACCCATTGCGATGTCTCACGAAATAATAGAGATATCAAAATTTTGGTTTTATAATATGATTCACGAGGATAAGAACTACGATTATTTCATTTTTAAATTTATTATAATGTTTTTGTACAAAATGTAAAAAATATATTTATTTATTTAATTATTACCAAAAAAAAAAAATAAAGATAGCCATTATTTTGTAGAGTTAATTTTTCTGAAAATATTAACGTTTCAAAATTTTATTTTCAATAATTTCCTGATTTTTAATATTTTTTCTAGTTTTCAAGAAATAAAATATGATTATAAATGTATAACTATTTGGAATAAGGAAAGTATTCGGCCGGCCGTATAAGAATGCGCGCGGCTGCGGCGTGGCAGATAGATCACATGTTTGAAATCATTATGGCGTTAAAAAATTCGCAATTTTTCTTGAAACTAAAAAAAAAATTAAAAATCGGGAAATTAAAGAAAATAAAATTTTTAAACGTCAATATTTTCAGAAATATAAGCTCTACAAAATTGCAATAGTCAATTTTTTGGAAATAATTAAATAAAAAAATATATTTTTTAACTTTTTTACCAAAACATTAAAATATAAAATAATTGTAGTTCTTATCCCTTTGAGTCTTATTACAAAACCAGAATWTCGATATCACCATTATTTTGGGAGATATCGCAATGGGTAAATCTTCACGGGACAACCTGTATAATATTGCTTCGATTGTAAATAATTTTAAAAGCTAATACGGGTACTTTGATTTCCTGTTGAGTGTTTTCTGTAAATTTGCCAAATATTAAATTATACTAACACTTCTTTTTTAATGCAAGTAATCAGAAATTCAATTATTTTTAACAAAGATATTATTTTACGAGCAAGTCATTAAATATGATATGCTAAAATCAATTAAAATAAATATTTGGACTACTATATACACATGGTACCTATTGATTTTTCTGAAGTTCAAATATTACTTGATGAATGCATTTACTTTTAATTTTATCTTGATATAGTTTTTACATCATAACATAGGTAATACCTATAACTTACTTAATTATTCATTAAAAAATCAATGTTTGTAAAATAAGCAAATGCATTGGGTAAATACCTATTAAAAATACATATATAGTATAGATATCCTAAATATCGTATTTTTATACCACAATACATTTTAAGCTTTACACAACTACTAGATTATGCAAGAAGCAAAAAATACCATTAAATATATTAAATATCAATAACGTATATCAAATATCATATTAGGTATTAATAAATATTTATAATGATGTATAGGTTAATTAGGTAGGTACGATACAAAATTATAATAAAATGATATTTAAAGATATTCCAATATAATGAACCGAGCATAATATTTGTGGCTTACAAAACCAAAATATTTATATGTTTAACAGTTTTTAAATTATTATCATTTATTTTACCTAATTTAACAAGCTTTAAAACTAAAAGAGAACGTTTGCAATTATGTTATATGCGCGATGAGGCAGCATCCACAATCGATTAGCCTCTTTTGAAATATTATTAAGTTTTCACGAACAAGAATTGGGAACGCAGTTTTAAAATTCCTATCTTTCTTCAACAATACGTTCAAAATTACGTATTCAAGTTATGCCACAACAATCCAAAGAATTCATGTATAGGTAGTTATTCCAAATATGTTTATGTAACAAACTTATCGTGCGTATCCGTATTTTCTTAGCTATTTTATACGCCTATACGAAGACATGTTCCGTTAAAATATGGTCTCAAGATATTTGTGTTCTATAATGTTGGTCATGGTGAACGCCACAAGTACTTCCGTATAATACTGCATATTTTAATACGTATATACAATGTACACCATATTAGAGGATAAATCGCTAGCCAAGATAATAGAGTTGCATTGATATGAGAATATATTTATTAACAAAAATTAAGTATACATTTAAAGCCAGGAATATTTTTATTATATTTTGAAGAGGACTGGATATCAGTTTTAAGAGGACGTATACCCACTGCGTTATCTCATCCGTCTTACAAGTGTGTAACATGGCAAATTGTATCCTCGTCAGATCACGTTTAGCTTTATTAGCTTCGTTAGTTAAAAATTTAGAATGAATTGAACTCTTATAGAATTTAAAGATAAGATTATTATCTAGTCAATCTCATAGGCTTTTTATCATATTTTAATTTTAAATTGAATTAAATTACTCGAAACTCGGTTTTACGCACTTTCAAGACGGAGACAATACATGCGGGTATCACGTCCTCTTAAAAAAATTCTATACAACTGAATTTATTTATTTGTCAAGGCCATTACCACTCTTCACAAACATGAAGTTATATTTTKATATACATTACTATGTCTCATTACAGTACAACTAATAATTAAAAAAGCAATACAACTAAATAGTATAGTAATAAGAACCAGGAAAATCTTAGCTGCATCTCTATGTTTAATCCACTTGATAAAAAAAATAAAAAHAATAAACTCATAATTATTTATACTATCTGCCCGCAACTTGGACTGATTTTCAAAGTTATAATTTCATATACAATAAATTAAAAAATATTTTAGTAAACACCATGATATAACACTGTACTATAATAATTGTGCAATGTTATTTTTCTTAAAAAAAATTKCACGTTTGTTTATAGGCACGGAATCTGCACCGTGGACGAATGCGTCGAGGAACAGCGCCGCCTGACCGATTCGTCATCACCGTTGACGCAACAGTCACATTCGCAGCATCAGCGACAGCAGCCGATTTCCCTCGCCCGGTGGACTGATGGACAGTGTTACGAGCTTGGCACTCGGGGCCCGTGCGCAGGCCACGAGCAGTTCGTAGTACCACGTGCCACGATGCGGCCAGATTGTGTCAGGTTGTCCATCGAGCTAACAATATTACCCAAGACCACAGACCGTCCGGGGTGCAAAACCGACCACTGGGGGAATTGCGATGCAGGGGTGGAAGTGTCGACGACACCGCATGAATTAAAAGACGCTTTGCTTAARAATGCCAAAAAGTACAGTCAAAGGGCGCAAATAAGGCGACCTAGCCTGCCCGAGGTTCGTCGTTATTTGTTGAACCGGTAACGGCGGTAACCATCGTTTAGGTACATGCCCATATGTGGCCTATAAACACTATTTATTTAGCCAAGCGAGCTGTAAGTATTTATAAGATTTTCAMAAGTGGTAGGAGGGATTCAGAAATTAAACGTTACGATGGCCGTTGTGTAAAAAAGTGTTTTTTACTAGGTATATTATACGACAAAAAAAGAATTTTAATTTTAATTTTAAAATTAATTCACGCACCTGACCTAACCATACACACTAGGTACAGTATAATACAATATGTTATGGCAAAGAAGACATTAAATAAGGGGCAGTGGGGCCTCTGTTCCAGGTCTCACGCATCATTTTTATGAGATTTTGAGTGTTATATAAATAATATTTATACTCCGAGACTTAACCTAAAACAATTGCCCTAGGTCTCATCGCTCCACCTTTGKGATATCCTATTCCTCGTAAAAATAATAGTTTATAGTTCTACACTATTATCAGTGTCCATCTAGCTAACGTCCATGTCCAATGGCCGTCACGGTAACCAGGCGACGTTGCTTGCTGTTGGTAAACAGTTGTGACACGGGAGCACCAATAACATTAAAATAAACCTATTTTACAAAATATGCTATAACTTATTAACTTATATTATTTATTTTTACTTTTCAATGTTTTATGACTTGAGTTTTGTCACTAATATTGCACGTTTCACTTTTTTCTTTGTTTTAACCTACCGCTCAAACTGGCCGTAACACGATTGCGGACTTTGTACCTTTTTACCTGAAAAAAACATAACACGATTGCGGACTTTTTACCTTTTAATATTTGAGAAAAAACAACACGATTGCGCACCTTATAAATATYTTACYTTTGAGCAAACACAAATATTTAAATAATTTGAAATAAATGGTTATAGTTTAAGAAACCCACCTATAAATAGTATAGTATACGTATACACAATTGCTACGGCCAGTGGATACTATTATTATATGGCGTCTAATAATATTTTATTACTCTAATAACCGATAATAACTGATAAGTGTTAGTGGCTGTGCTTTTTCAACGTATATTACGTAATTATTATTATTGTCATCGTTATGAGTACATCTTAATTCTTTATTTTTTTAAATAAATACCGGCATATTATTCCTTTTTTTGACGCGTAATTACTGTGATATATTATAAGAGTTATTTTTAAAATAGGTATACGTATTAAGTTATTATTAATGTTGGTAAATTTATTAAAATATTTGTGTTTGCTCAAAGAAAAAATATTTAAGGTGCGCAATCGTGTTATGTTTTTTTCAGGTAAAAAGGTAAATAGTCCGCAATCATGTTGCACCGCTCAAACTGTTCGTTTTAGTTAGGAAATAATAGATATGGCCAGGGTCTTCAAACTACTGTTCGCAAACAAGTTTTCACCGTCCTCCCAAAAGACAGTAGGTAAATAATTAAAAAATAATATGACGTGTAATACCCAAAATCTTTATCACACGCACGTGCCAATTCTCATTTATATCATAATTAATATGAGATATGACTAAGTCTATTTAAGTAGATTATAATAACCAATTTTTTAAATATTTATATAAAATAAAAAATTATATGTTTATATATACTTTTGGTTCATTAAAAAATATTGATATTTATAAGGCCCTCAATTAAAAAAGTTTGGAAACCCCTGTTATAGATTATAATTAAATAACGTCGAACAAATTTATACATAGGTATTTTATTATATCATAAACATAAACATATATTGTCTAATACTAAGGTACCTCATAAAGAATTATGTCATTTATATTTATATACATAATACAAATCGAACTAGACGGTATCTTATTATTACTAAAATACTAACTTAATATTAAATATAAAGACATGAGTTGAGTCAAAATAATTCATTAGTAAACTATATTTTATTATATTTATATTATTATATTATATTCCCTTAAAAATAAATACTTATTATTATTTACTATTATTATTATTATTTATTACTTATTATTATTACAAAGAAAAAATACGATGATAATAATATATAATTGTTTTTATTTGCCGCTCTGTAGGAACCGACTGCATGTATAAGCACAATAAAATATTATAATAAGTAATGAGAGCTAATAAAATAATATCCTTTTGAGCAGAAATCGATCACTAACGTTTCCATAAATAACATCTTACGGAAATTATCAACAAATTATAAAAATATTAAAACGTCATTGTCATTTTGATACCTTCCTACTACCTTTATAATTCAAAATATACTGTATTTTAGCTTTAGCTTAGCTTTATTGTCATATCGTTGTTATCCTTTAGCCATTGCCCATTGATTATGAAATAGACTATTCTAAAATCAAGCTTTAGCCATCTTATCTTGTCAAACATGTTTGGTATAAAATATAAATAATACTTCCGAAGTACAACTTAGAATTGTGACATTTTTGAGTAATACTTAAGATAAATTATTTTAACTAATAATTTGTATTCTGTGTTGGATACATATTGAATTGAACAAGTGATATCTAAACTACACATCAGTTATGGCTATTTTTTATTCAATACCGGTTATTTATAATAATTTTCGGGAAATCAAATTTAATATAAAAATATAATGATAGAAATAACTATAACAATTATTGCGAACAGTCCAGGTTATCAGACGATTTTATATTGATCTTAGAGTCTCTAAGTTAGAGACAATGTTGTTTGGCCTTTTGCCAGAATTGTTCTGTCGTTTCTACATAAACATGACAATATATTTAAAAGTCTAGTCGTCTTTATTACATTAAACAGTTCAAGGGTTTTGAGATGAATTTTAAGGGACATTTATAAGTCACGCTAACTAATCTTAAGTCAACAATTACATTAATAATACATAGGTATAATAGGTATCTACTTCCTATCCTAAACATTACCAAWTAATAATTGAATGGTTAACAAAATTATTTTATAGTATAATCAATTTACAATTGAAAATATATTTTTAAATTACAATTATATATTACCTATGAAAATAAATAATAATATACCTGATATTACCTGTACACAAATACATAATAATKAATTAAATTGGTAAATCAATTGATAATTTAATAATTTAAAAATTACAAACAATAGATAAGATTTTTAAACAGAGTACAATGAGTGCATAATATTATATAACCCAAATAATATAATAATATAGTGCATAGGTTTATAATTGTACAAAAAAATGATGTGATAACTGCAAAGAGTGTATATATATTATTTATCAGTTATTAATTATTACTATTATTAGTATATTATCAAAGGAAATACTCAAACACAACTTAATTAATTTTTTTTTTTATTTTATTAAATTTCTGGATACCTTGGGTAACTCATTAAAGATGTTCAAAAATATAAGCCATAATAATTATATTATTATATTGGCTATTGTTATACAACACATATTATAAATAGTTCAAAATTACATATGAGTTACAAAATTATTTAATACTTAATGAAAATAAAAATAAAATTTTTTTATGTATAATATTATATAACTACCTAAATTAAACTTTTATATTGTGAACTAGCTGTATACATACGATTAATTTTGTCAATTATTTATTTGGCGTTATGTACTTAAAAATTTCAACACAGAGACTATAGACTTCTGACTTATAGATATCAATATATAGGCTTATACTCTAGTTTGTTWTGTTTATTGCCTCTATCTTCTGATATTTCTTAATGTATTTTGTACTTTGTGAATAAATAAAATTATCTAGAAATATGTTGAATATTTATGTAGCTGTATTTTTAATTTGTAAAATTACTATTACTTAATATACCTAACAATTTTGTATTAATTATTTGTAGAAGTTAATAGTTTTTAATTTACTTACTACAAATGTTAATCAATAGTCCAATTAATATATTATTGTACTTACTCTATAAATGTATATACAAAATTAGGTAATAGTATAACGTATATACTAATKTGTAATACGAATAAAATAAATAATGATACAGGCAATAAAGCTATTATTATTCAAGCATTTTTTTGTCATATACATCTTATTATAAGCTATTTTATTTTTATTTTGGATTGAGTAATACAAATAATTATCATCTATCTGCCGCAACCCCTCTCAAAAAATCTGTTAACCACCTGGGCGTGATGAACGACCCCCATCAGGTATCAKCCGTCTTGTATGCGATTTGATTTGGTCATTTGGACTGTACTATACAATAGGTATGCATATTTTACTCATAATATGTACATTTCCCACAAACGATAAGCGCTTGAGCTGAGTTTATAAATAAAAATAAAAATGTTATAAGTTATTATACATTATATAGATAGTATAAAACTAAAAAACAAMAATAATACTGATAATATACATTTTACACTTAATATTTTAATAGTACGATATTGTTGATCTCGTATTATTATTATTATTATTGTTATAGAAATAGTATAATAGTAAAACACGATCGACATCAGATTCCGTTACGATAACGTCAATACTCAATAATAATAATAATAATATGCAATGTATAAATAAAAACGTGTCACCGTCGGACACTATCGCGTTGTCTGGTCCCCCGCGCCGCCACGATCAACGATGTAGACAGACGTGGCAGACATCACGACGACAACCGCGGCTGCCAAGGTCAACCCCTCTCGTGTCTGCTGAGCCCGTCCGATGTTCGCCAGCCGCCCAAGGGATTCGCATTCGCCGATGTCTTCATTTGGTTTCAAGGTCTTCGCTTGCGCACAGYCCGACACCAGTTTTTCGCTTTGACCACTCTACGTAGACAATATTGCTATTTCCCTATCCACCATCCGGCCAGACTATACATTTTATTTAAAATCATCTTAACTTTGTTATGGCCGACTTACTGGTAGACATGAACTACGCCATAATGACCATCAACTCACAGATAGTGTACAAGCCGATCAGCCAGCGCGATGACCCAGAACCCGACAACGATCGAGAGGTGTACGTAGGAAACCTGCCACAGCACTACACCATTGAGAAGTTCGTCAACTTTGCCAAGTAAGTATACCAGCCACCAGGCCTATCTCATAGTAGGTATAGAGACGCTATGTTACATCGGGGAGACGTACCTAAATCACTTATGTATTTTGACGCAAGTGAGTAGTTGAAAAACATCGTCGTTCAACAGTTCAGAATTTGTGAATTGTGGTAGTTAGTAATTACTAATTACGATTGAGGGACGTCCCACACCCCACGGGATAATAAATACATTTTTTTGTAATTTATTCTACCAAGATTGATCCGTTTTTAACAATGTGTGAGGATTTTTCTTTGCAAAAATGAACAAAAAAAAAAAAAAATTTTAGCTGGAATAATAATATTGTATTCTGTTAGATGTACGAGTATATTAATAATAATTATTACTATTGTAGTCCTACACCAGTCAGTCCCGTTCTCGTATGATTAAATTCCAAAGAGATAACACCGTTGAGTATAATTATGACCTCATACATCAGCTGATGTACTGCAGCACCTTATAAATTATAATATCGCTTTTTGTTCATGTTCATAATATTAGACAATAGACATATGGACAATGATATTATTGAYGAATTCTCGTTTTTTTTTCGCACTTAGCAAATTTTTTATGATGCGGAATCGCGGCGCAATATTCTTTTAATAGACTTTATAACTATTATATTAATTTATTTTTATCTTTGTTGTTAACTAATACGACCAAAAAATAGCAAATATTCATTCGTTTTCACCCAAAAGTCATGATACTTGTATTTAATTGAGTATTGGGTTATCATTAACTATAATTCATCTTATCTTTTGTCGATATATGTTAAGATGAATATCAATTTATTTATAATACCAATACTTTTCAGTACCCACACAAAAATATATTGTTATTTAAACCTACCACTGTGGATAAACCCAACTTTGTTAGTTTAGAACTTTAAAATATTATATTTCAGTATAATAAATTACTGATTGTAGTTTATCTTTATACATACTAAATGGCTTTTGTAGTTTTGTACATCCAATATTTGTACATAATGTGTAAATGTTATAGTGATGTATAATGTAGATATATTAACCTATTATCTAATACAATACGCGTTTTTACGGATTTTTAATAGACAAATAAAAAGGA